CCTGGTTACCCCAGTTTAGATGGCCACTTCTTTCGTTTCGTTCACATAGTTAGTTTTCTTCTGTTTGGCTCTCTCATGATTTTGTCACATCACCTAAGCTCTCCAAGGGAGCATTGCGCCCATCCAGCCATTGGCTACCCTTCCCTGCAATCAGGTCTGTCCTCTCAGCTACAGGCTGAACTGCACTTTGCCCTCCTTGAGCGTGTGTCCAGTTCCTGTTCATCTCCCGTTTTTATATGAGTACGTCCTTTTGAAGAATTCCAAGGAGGATCACCAGAGGTCCCAGCTTCGTTCTCATACTTGACTGGAAATACACAGGAGAAAAAAGACTTAGACACATGCAGGCGTTTCGTGTACAGCCTTGTGAACCCGAGTCCTCCTGCAGACCATGGTTTCTCTTGGCATGTTTAGGAACTTCCCTTTGCACATGAATTTCAAACACTTGTAAGGAGGGCGTGTTTCGACTTCAGTCCTCTGTCTATCCATCGCCAACAACAAAAGATGGACATCGCTCCTCGGTGCAAATACCACAGTTCTTTAATCTTAACAGCTGTATTTGTAAGGCAACCACTTTCCAAATCTTCCCTGATTTCTCTTTGGTGATGTCTAATAGTTGGATAATGATTCTGAAACTTGACTCTCTGTGTCTGTTACACTTTCTTCTCACACATCTTATTTCCCCTGATTAGTCTACATTGCTGTGCAAGTCTTCAGCTTTCAACCTCATATTATTTTTACATATATCAATTACATGCTTAATTTCCAAGCATTTTCTATTGTCTCCATTTTCTTTTCCCATGGTGGAATACTGGTTTTGTGCAACTAATGAGTTCAGTATTACTTCAATAGTATGTTTTTTGAGACTCGGGTGATTCATGCATTTTTATGTCTAAGTATCTTTTCCTGTCTTGCCAGTTCTTGGCCTTTCCCATTTTAGGTTCGTTTATAAATTGTACTTTTACCAATGGAATTGTATGAAATTTATATCCATCTACTATGAAACTTAAAAAGTCTGGGTGGTGGTGGTGCACGCCTTTAATTTCAGCACCTGTGAGGCAGAGGCAGATGGATCTCAGTGAGTTCGAGGCCAGCCTGATCTACGAAGCAAGTTCCATGACACGTAGGGCTATTACACAGAGAAACCCTGTCTCAAAAAGAAAAATAATAGAAACCTCTAAGAATGCAGAATTTTAAATTTCCACCCAAAACATGGCACATGTCATTTGTTTAGGTTATTATAATTGAGGTGTAACTTTATAAATATCAAATGTCTACATGCTGTTTAATTTTGTTTTCCTTCAGATCTAAGACTATCTATTTGAACTGATAAATTAATTCCTCATTATTTGATTAAACACATATTTGTGTTTATTTCTACCATGTTTTGGTCATAATTTGCTACTTTTTTCTTTCCTATATTTACTGAATCTACAAAATTTTCATTTATTTTACTCTTTAAATAATTAGCTCCCATTCAAGTTTCATGTAATAATTCCTCAAGTGAATGTTTATGAATGGCAAACTTCCGTAGGTTTTGAAAAATTTCAGCATTTGTTCATTGTTAAACAATACTTTATCTGACAGGCATGGTTCCGTGGCTCTGCATTTTGAAAATTTCATGCCACTGTCTTCAGACATCTATGATTATGCCTGAGAAGTCTGATGTGAGTCCTCATGCTTGCACCTGGAAGCTAATTTGATGTAACCAATTAATCACTTTTAATAATAACTTAAAGAAACAGTAGCCTGCTCTTTGGGGTTTCAGTGGAGAACCCACACCCACTCTCTCTATTAAGACAGCATTCTCTGTTATCTCAATGCTTTTCCTTGTTTTCCATATTTGGGATCCTTGTTATATGACATTGAAAACAACCTCACCACTTCACTTTTTTGCTCTTTGTTAGTTAGGATTTCTTCAGATTAAACTTGTTTTAAATATCTTATAATTTTTTCTTTACTTCAAACTCTCAACCTGATTAGCATGAAGTTGTATGAAGTCACTTCTGTAACTCTGATTACCATCTTATGTATTTTATACACGTTGCCGTAACAGTTTTGCATTTTCTTTCTACCAGAATTAGGACAGAAGTTATCTGTTTTTAATTGCCATGTGTGTGTGTGTGTGTGTGTGTGTGTGTGTGTGTGTATATATATATATATATATATATNTGTTCCAAAGCTTGGCTCTTAAAATGATTCATCATTTTGACTTTAGTTCTTCTTTAAAATATTTTCTCATGATTTTAACTATTTAAAAACTTACTTACTTCTTGTATTCCATACTGATTGGCTTGACTCTTTTTTTCTTGCTTGCTTAGCTCTGAGCATGCTTACAGATACAGATTGTGCAGAAGGATTCACATGTAAGAGTTTGCCTTAAATATTTCTTGGGTGTTCATTTCCATTGCTTACCTGTCTTCAACTCCTAAATCACACACCCTACTGGTCCATTTACTACTCCTGAAAATTCCTATTGAAAGGTCTATAGACTATAACGCTCATCTACAAGCAACAACAATGATAACAGGATACCTTCCCTTGACACCTTAAGAAACAGTTACTGTGTTCTACCAGCAAATCAAAGTACAGAAAAACTGACTAACACCTGGCTTTCCTGAGCACAGCCAAGATGCCCAAAGACACAGAAAGAGTCTAGCTGGTACAATGGCAACAAACTGATGGGTTCTGCCAGTGGCCCGTTTCCTAATTAGAACAGGTGTATGAATTCCTTTAAAGCCAGAGCAACATTCCAGTAAACCTTTTGTATTGTATCTTTTTTTGGAAAGAAGAAGTCGAGTAAATGAAAAAGCTAACTTCCCTATTCATGTGCATATGGATATGAACAGTTGGTCAGGGTAGTCCAAGTGACTCTCAAAATGGTGGAGTTCATTGATGTAGCCTTGACTGCCTCTCAGAGGTTGAAGGCAAGCCCCTATTGCTGAAAACACCAAACACTCAGGACACAGGTCTGGGATGATTCAAGCTAGATCTAACCTAAAGACCTCTCTCCCACAGTTTAGATTCCCTGGTTCCAGAAGATAGTAGGCAAGCTGCCAAGGGAGGAAAAGAGTTAAACAGTTTTACCCAGCTACAACACCTGGGAACCAGGACAGCAAGATATGCATAAGGTGCCTCTTCCTGCCTCCCGAGTGCTGGGATTAAAGCTGTGAGCCACTGCCACAGCTTTGCTTTGGTTGTTCTTGTTTCTTACCTCTGTCTTCTTCCCAGATGCCATGAACATTCATTTGTGTTCCAGAGATAGCAGTGTTGGGTTTTCTCCCCCGAGGGTTAAAATTTCTGCCTTAAAGGTATATAGGACATAAGGAGAGCTTGTGCCTTCCTCACAGTAAAGAGAAGACCTGTGTTCCAGGACTGCTGCCCATGACAGCTTTCTCTGATTTTTTTTTTTTTTTTTTTTTTTGCACAGCTTGTCCCATAAGCCATAGCTATAAATGTGTGAGAAGACCTTGTGAGTTAGTCAAGCTCTCCTCTGTCTTTGGATCCGGAGGGATCTATGTGTTCATTGTCCATGCTTGGCTTTTGTAATAATTTTCCAAAAGTCATATCTGTAGGCTGACGTTCCTGCCCCATTTACCAGCTCTCAATAACTGAGACTTAATATTACTTATAATACTCAGCCGATAGCTCAGACTTATTCCTAGCTAACTCATACATTTAAATTAATCCATATTTCCTATCTATACTTTCCCATGTGACTCATGGCTTGTTAGGTCATTTTCTACATGTCCTGTTTCCTCTGTCTTCTGACATCCCCCTTGATGCTGCCCTTCTTCATCCCAGCATCTTTAGTTTGGATGTCATGCCTATACTTCCTGCCTGGCTACCAGTCATTCAGTTCTTTATTAACCAATGAGAGTAATACACATTCACAGTGTACAGACGGATTATTCCACAACATTTTCCACTTTTTTGTCTAATTAAAAGGAAGGTTTTAACCTTAGCATAGTAAAACTATATATAACAAAACAGTTAATAAGTAAGAGTTACAGTTGTCAGAATACAATCAAAATATCACACAACATATACCTAGCTAAATTTTTCTTGCCACCTTGGGTATCTCTTCCTTCTGTCCTTTGGCTTAGGTTGTTAGACTCTTGTCCTATCTCCTTGGTTGTAGGCTACTCAATTTACTCGAAACTTCACATTTTGTGTGTGTGAATAATAAAAAATAATTTTTATAGTTCTTTTGACTTTGTCTTCTTAGAATAGAAATAATATATCTCATATTTCAGCATACTTGGGGGAGGAGTTTACCCAAAAAAATTCTTTGTGATTCATTATGATTTAATATTACTTTCTATAAGTACTATGAAAGCAATGCAAAACCAGAACTTCAACAGCTTAAATAACCTAGTGCCCAATATCTGGAATTCACTCAGGATCTTCTGGGCTCCAGCGAGCTTGGGCAGCTCTACTTCTCCATCTGTGTCACTGTCAGCTTCCATAGCTCCTCTCATAGACACAGGCCAGTTTCACTTCACAGAGGATTCTGTCCTTAGTGGCTGTCCCACAGTTTCTGTGTCTCCAAAATGCAGAGGTCTCCAAAGGCTGTACCATCACAAGTGGCCTCCTGGCCTCTTATCAGGGACTCCACCCCTGCCACATGGTGCCAAGCATCAACTGTTCTCCAAGACCCCTTCAACCCTACAGCTTTTATGCTAGCAAAACCATTACCTGGGAAATGCTAACATTTACCAAGTTTGGCTGACAACATGCAATGCAATCTTGGGTCCTCTATACCTCAGCCCCCGTGAGCTGACCCTGAAGAAAGCTCTCCAAGTTTCTTGTCAGTGATGCTGGCCTTTTCTTAATTGCAGTTGTTATTTTTTGGGGGGGTACAAAAATTCTTTATTTAAAGAAATGGTACAAATAAAAGAACTTAAGCGGATGTTTTGGTGCGACTTATAGAAAAGATAAAGGCAGACCAACATGCACGCACTGACTCAGTGACCAGTAAAGTCACTTGTGCCTTTGGGGAAGTCAGCTTAGCTCTGATTACTGAGTCCCAGGGTGTGCTTGTCAAACAGATATTCTGCCATGCCAGCTTCAGGGGCTCCCATCTTGCGCAAGCTGGTCACGTGGCCACCCAGTTCCTTGATGGATTTCACCTGCTCATTCAGGTAACGCGTCTCGATGAAGTCACACAAGTGGGGGTCATTTTTGTCAGTAGCCAGTTTGTGCAGTCCCAGCAGTGACTGATTCACACTCTTTTCCAGGTGCAGTGCACACTCCATTGCATTCAGCCCGTTCTCCCAGTCATCACGGTCTGGTTTCTTGATACCCTGCTGGACGATTCCACCGCCTCGTTCGTTCTGCGGCTTCATCAGTTTCTCAGCGTGTTCCTTCTCCTCATGAGATTGGTGGAGAAAGTATTTGGCAAAGTTCCTCAGAGCCACATCATCCTGGTCGAAGTAGCAAGACATAGACAGGTAGGCGTAGAAGGCATACGGTTCCAGGTTGATGTGGCGGTTGATGGCAGCCTCCGAGTCCTGGAGCTGGTTCTGGCACACTTGCGAGGGAGACGTGGTAGTCATGGCGGCGGCTGGCAACACTGGGGCGGTGGAGCGACGAGGTTGCAGAGGGTTCCGGCTTGGAGCAGCCGGCTGGGACCGGTTCCGTTCAAGCACTGTTGAAGCAGGAAACCGCGGCGACTCTGGACGAGAAAGTCTCTCGCAGTTGATTTTTTAAAACCTTAGCTGATCACACTGAAGTCCCAGTAAAGCAGAAGTTTCCCATAAGGTACCGGCCTCTAGTAGATCACAGTTGATTCTTCATTCCAAGTTAACCAGAACTAGAGACTTTTAGTTCAAATCTGATCGATTCCTTAAGGGACTCAGACTTCTCCCTCCAACTTCACAAACCAGGCCTCCACAAACCGTGCATTTGTCTCAGCACGCGTCTTCTCCACACAGACTAACTCATTAATTTACTCAAAGGCATTTTAAACCTAATGTTCCAAATTCCTTCCCTAATCAAAACAACATGGTCCGGGACGTCGGAACAACACCACATGATCCTGGCAGCAATTTCTGTCCTAGCTTCTTATCGTTGTGATAAAGACCATGACCAAAAACAGCTTGAGGAAGATAAGGTTTGTTTTGGCATACAGGTTGCAGCAGTCCACCATGAAGGGAAGTCCGAACAAGAACTCACACACCGTGGGACAGGAATTGAAACAGACACCATGGAGAGTCACTGCTTGCTGGAGAGTTCTTCGCGGAGGGGCTTCCTTCGCCTGCTTTTTTATAAATACTGAGATTTCCCTGCATTTATTTCTCATAGCCTTTATACACCTCAATACAAAGTGGGGGGAGGCAAGAGGCTTCTTTACATGATATAAGGAATGAACAAAGTAATAACCTTCTCAATACCCAAAATACCAAGTACCCACACCCCATAGGTCAAAACATTCTGTTAGTAACCATACCTTAAGTGAAACCTCCTGTTGTATAACCTTGAAGGAGCAAGAATAGGTCTGAACTCTCTGTCCTTTAGTCAATGCGGATCCACTTCTGTGGGTTCCCACAATATCCTAGTACTAACTGCCCAGAATGGCACTGCCCACAATAACCTGGCCCTCCCTTATCTGCCATTAATCAAGAAATGCCCTTCAGTCCTGCTTATAAGCTAATCTGATGGGAACACTTTTGCAATTGAGATTCCCTCTTTCCAAAGGATTCTATTTCATGTCAAGTTGGTATAAAACTAACCAACACATTGCTTTTTCTTTGTTTTTCATCCTTGATATTTGTATTACTTATTTTTTATATTTTAATTTATATGACTTTGTTCTAATAGATGTATTTATTTGGTAAAAATGTTTTATTCTTTGTATGTATATACATGTTCACATGTGTGTCAGGGATTAAGTGCACATGCAAATGAAGGCTAGAGGTCGACGTCTCAGTAGCTCTCCATCTTGTTTTTAATGGTGTGGTCCTTATTGAACCCGGAACCTAGGCTGCCCAGCCCCATGGAAGCTCCTGTCTCCACCCTACAGAATCGGAATTGCAGATGCACTGGAACTCCCATTTACTCCTCCACACTGGTGCTGGGGATCCAAGCTCTACATACCCCGTTTCAGTGCAATCATATTCATTTGTATGCTAGTACCTGGCTTGCTTCCCATAGGCTAATGTCCTCCGGATTCATCCAAATTGCAGTCTATGTCTATGTTCCTGCATCTTCGAGTTTGGACAATATTTCATTGCATGTAGATGCCACATTTCACTTGTGATGTCACCTATCGGTAGAACCATGAGCAAACAATGCCGTGAATGTGAGGACAACGCCATTTCTGAGCATCTTGCTGTCAGTTCTGCTGTGTATCTTCTCCGTGGAATTGCTGGACAACGTGGCAGCTCTGTTTTAACTGCCATACTGTCTTCCACAGGGTCAAGCTGTTGCTCTTCAGTGTTTAGAAAATTAATATGAGACACGACATTTCCGGCAATGTGACGGGAAGTTCCACACAAGAAAACTTCCTGCCGTGAAATGGGAAGTTCCACATGAGTCACATGAGTGCTCTCTCATGCTGACATGCTTTTAAATATCTGCTAAATAGTCATGTAACCAAACTCGAGTGTTACTTTACGATAGGTGCTTATTTCTTATGAAAACACAATTTTAAAAATCTTTGCTACGTATCAAGTTTGTAGAATGCAATACCTTAATTTTGTCCAGAATTTAGTCAAATATTGTTCGCTATCTTGGAAATAATTTCTCAATAGCAATGCTTTTGTAAATTTTTTTTATTTTATTGAGAATAAGAAAAAAAAGTTTCCGCCTCCTCCCAGACTCCCATTTCCCTCCCCCACTCTTCTCCCCCTCCCCCCTCTCTTCTCCTCCTCCCCCCACTCCTCTCCCCCTCCCTCTCCTATCCAAAGAGCAGTCATGGTTCCCTGTCCTGTGGAAAGTCCAAGGTCCTCCCCCCTCCCTCCATGTCTAGGAAGGTTAACATCCAAACTGGCTAGGCTCCCACCAAGCCAGAACATGAAGTAGGATCAAAACCCCTTGCCATTGACCTTGGCTTCTCATCAGTCCTCATT